CCCCCCTCCCCTCCCCTCTTGCACCCACACACAAATGGCGTCATGAAAATATGTGAACATAAAAGATTAAAAAGCACAGGCTTGTCCGTCAGATTCTTTGGAGAAGGTAATCTGTCGTGATCAGTGCAAAGAGCTCGTGTCCATTTGAGCAAGTCCAACACCACCGATCCTCGATCACTTTACCGCCATGAAAGTTTGCTAAAGAGATTGTGTATTGATTCCGAGACGTCGTCTTCGAGATTATTTACTAAGCCTGTTTTTCTTCAGCATTTTTGGCAGCTGCGCCTCTTTTTTTCTTTGAATACTGAACGACGAGCTTTGCCTTTTATTGTTCGCCGCTGTGGAGCAGTCGGTAACAGAATTTGAAGATGTTGAAGTCAGGAGTTCGAATATTATGCCCAGCATATTAATGGTGTTCATCTTTTCCTAAAATATTTCGCTTTTAATCTGGTCCATTTTACGTGTACCTTTCCAGAAAAGCCTCTTTTCGGGGTTTAGGGTATTGAAACTTCAAAGGACGCAGAAAGACCCTCACGATATGACATTGATCGTATGTTACATAAGAAATATTATCCTAGGGCGGCAGGCATAATGTATATCTGAGAGGATACATAGATAGTGCCTTTGAACCAGATATTCAGCAACATGGTGATTAACTACAAAAACCTTGTATGTCAAATTTTAATGTAATTCCCTTTTTCTGCTCCTTTCCTTTGAAAATATTATTCATGTTTATCATCGGCAGTCCAGCGCTGTTGCCTTATTTCTGGACGTAGACCAATCGTGTTTTTTATTTGATTGCCTTTAAAATGTTTTGGGAACGATTTGATCAAGAAAAGTACAGTTTGCAATCGCGTTCATTCTTCAATTTGTCTTTAACCCTTCTCTACCCATATTTCAAACTGGAATGTGTGATGTTATAGCTCCGCTAATAGTCACTGATCTAAAAAAAAACAACAACGTTAATACAATTCCTAAGTCTGGATGCCTATTGTATCGGTGTCCCCGTCTTTCTGCTCGGGTGTTGTATCACATCCAGCCTAGATAGCCTTCGCGGGCAAGGTCAAAGCGGTCCGTGTCCTAAAAGATCCAAACTGTGTCGCCAAGAAATATCTTAACCTACAATTAATCAACCCATTTTTAAAAGTCGTTCTCACATACTTAGCAAAGC